AAGAGAATCTGATTGGCTCAAGGGACATCGTTTACACACGTTTGTTTCCCTAGATTTGTTGTACCTCTAACACACAAACACTTCTGCCGCTGCACCCTTCTTGTCGTGTAATTCCTCTGGGAACTCACACAAGGCGTTGTTGGGCGGCGATATCTCGGCCTGGGCATTCGTTACAACAAATGTTATACGCGATCAAGCGGGCATTCATCGTTTTTGATGAAGCATGGTTCTCGAAAATCCTTGGTACCTTCATAAGGTCACACCTTGAATACGCGATTAAAGCCTGGAAACCGTGGATGCGGCAGGATTATAACGTACTCGAGAGGATGCAGCGGCGGGCCACAAAATTAGTGAGAGACCAAGGTGCACTACCATACGAGATCCGCCTAAATAACTTTAATCACTATTTTCTGAGTTATAGGCAGTTACTCGGAGATTTGATACAAACCCTCCGCATTGTGCGTGACTTGGCCTGCGCCCTCATGTGTGACAACTTTTCCAACTCGCCACTTAAACTAATCTCAGGGGTCATCCGGGTGATTGGATGTGAAAACGTATTTTTCTATTAACCGGGTCCTAGACCCGGGGACTAACTTACCTGAGGCGATTTTTATGAATCTTTCTGTGGAAACAGTCAAACAGAGATTTGATATCCATATGTTGCAGCACAACGCGAACGATGTGACGAAGTAACCTTGAAATACGAATGCATGCTGTGACTCTGTTTACATTTACCTGCCTGAAATGTTTTTACATTTTTTCACATTCTTGAGATTTTGCTGTGACAAATAGGGAGTTAAAAGGCGTAAGCCTAGTTTTTCTCCAACTATACTGACTGATTGAAATGGTGTAGCTCGCGTGTCAGTGAAAATGGCCAATGCTCCTACCCTTTTACTTCCGATCTCTTTACAACAACTCAACAACAGGCAACGTGTCTTCTACAACGACTCCCGGCTTCCAAACACTTGCCTGCGGTTGCAATTTGCACTGTATTCCGCACCGGTTATTCAGCAGATATTTCAGCATCAACCTCCATCCAGACAGGTTATCTAACGCCGTAAGTCATATCTTTGTACATCTTTAATTATGCATTTAATTCCTATTCATGCCTATTATACGGTTATGTCTCTCATTCCTATTATCCTCCCTTATCGCCTGGATGAGTGTTGGAAGTGTTGACGATTCCATTCAGTTCCGACTTAGTTTGGCTACGGTATTCAACGTTACTCGGTGTATACCAGCCTTCAAAACCTCGGCTCGCTCGATGAATTACACAACTACGCAAATATTGTGAACTACTCAAACTTGCAGGGAAACACATAAAATAAGAATTTCTGAGAATAAAGTGAAGAGAAGTAAAAAATAAAATGAAAACCACATGTCCCTAATAAGCCTAAAAATAAACTTATTAAAGAAAGGTCAAGTCAAGTCAAGTCAAATTTATTAAAGGAAATATAGGCAAAC